TTTATTCAATTGTTTTGATTATTAAGTAAATTCTGTTTTTATTTAATTGTTTTGACTATTAAACGAATGCTGTTTTTATTTAATTGTTTTGACCATTAAGTGAATACTGTTTTTATTTAATTGTTTTGACTATTAAGTGAATGCTGTTTTTATTTAATTGTTTTGACTATTAAGTGAATACTGTTTTTATTTAATTGTTTTGACTATTAAGTGAATGCTGTTTTTATTTAATTGTTTTGACTATTAAGTGAATGCTGTTTCTATTTAATTGTTTTGACTATTAAATGAATGCTGTTTCTATTTAATTGTTTTGACTATTAAATGAATGCTGTTTTAATTGTTTTGACTATTAAATGAATGCTGTTTTAATTGTTTTGACTATTAAATGAATGCTGTTTTAATTGTTTTGACTATTAAATGAATGCTGTTTTAATTGTTTTGACTATTAAATGAATGCTGTTTTAATTGTTTTGACTATTAAATGAATGCTGTTTTAATTGTTTGGCTAACAATTTTGATTCGTGTTTGCTGTTTTGTGTGTAAAGCTATACAGTCATGTATGTGCATGGTTTTTTCAATTGAATCAGACTGCCATGTGTTATTTGCAACATTAATGGTAAGATATGCTTACGAGAACAATTTGAACAATTTCAAAAACGGGAGTTCCTGTTTTAAAATTTCAATAACATATGACGACCACCATGTGACTGTAGCATATTGATATTTATTTATCCGTTCAGTTGGAAACAGTTACTACGAAATATACATTACTATCTTTGAAGCACGTGTTACTAAGATCACGGCTGTGACGCACATTGTAGGTATGATCGCACCAACACGATTACGGACAATTGTTACAAGACTTCGCTCAGTGATTACATTGATTTCAGTCGTAGCAGCACATTCCCCTCGAGAGACAATGTTTTTTGTGATTGTGTTGGTATCCAGGAGTAAAACTTCGCCAGAGTGGCGCAAGGAAAGGGATTGAATTATGAAAGTTATTATTTGGAAAATAAGATGGTATCTTTCATAGCAGCGTCTTAAGATTCCCTTCGATTTGTTTGAATACGACGCAAGACTTCTATGTGATAACATTGTTTACCTCTTCATTTGTGTTTCTGACAATCGTACATAGTATTATCCCCTCGGAGATCAGCCCGGCACAAATCCCACGGGATTGGCGGCTGTTAAGCTCAATGCCAGAATCATCCATGTCCAAAGACATAACCCGTTTTACACCTGGGAGCCTTAAAGCAGATGACGTTTCAAACCTGTAAACCAGCAAATACAGGTATATTCCATGTGACGCTGACGCTGTGACAGTGTCTCAAGGAGGGTGTAGCAACGTAAACACTAATCTCATTTAAAAACTCTATATCACCATCTACCACGTCCCTTAAAGAAACTGAATTACTTTTTTGTATTTCTTCTTAATGACCGTAATGTTACCAGGGGGTACGTACGCGTCTTCTTCTTGTTCGATACCGTTCTCTGGCGCCAATTAATTACCCAATGTACGTCATACTTGGACCTATATAGCCTCGTCCAATCGCGTGCTGCGATTCATGGGTCAGCAGTTTTGAGTTGGGTACGATGGCCAGTGTTAAAACATTGCTACATGTAGTTGGTTTGACTTTTAGTAGAAATTTTTAATTCGCATTTAAAGCATGACCTCCCCTGAGAATAGAATAGTTTGATACTCGTGGCTGTTTCTAAGTGGTGTCAAATCGTTACCCTAGTGGGACAGATACGCACTTGACTCGGTGGTGTATGGGCTTGTAACAGATTACTACGTGAAACGACGGTCATTACAGAATCACACATTACACCTGTACGACATTATACGCATCTAGTTGGGACAAAACCAAAAAGAATCGCCATGTCTACAACCCATACATATTTCCAGACTACACAGCAGTGTTCTCACATCAACCTGTTCGTCGTGGTCTCATTTATCTTTCTATCAAGTCCTTGGACAACACATGAAGTCGCAGGGAGTATGTCATATTTTATAATTATTACTTGTATATTATTTAAATCGACTGTTTAAATATTCTGCATTTTATCAATAAATATTTCAGAAACGACCATACCCGTGCATGTAGCTATATGCCGGTCAAGTGTTTATTGTTATCAACGCTGTTGTTCTCTTTGTCCACTTGTAGTACTGTACTACAAACAATCTGTGCCAAACATGAAATGCATTTCATTAGCATTGAAACTAACACGTCGATGAGTGTTTAATACATGTGTTGATTAATTGTGTTTAAATGATGTATACGTACAATCTAGTAATCGAACATGTACAACAGTGAACAAAAGGAAATTGGACACGCGGAATCGACACTAAAATCCCCTCAAACTATTCCTGTGGTGACATCTACATTTTTGTTTTGCAGCATTATGTTCGAATACTTGTGAAACTGCAGGCAATGGAGCTTGTGAGGATGGAGGTATGACCTGGTCAGACACTAACGGCTGCTTTTGGGGAACTGATTGTACCGATTGTGGCGAGCGGACGTGGCCGTACGCACACGATGGATGTAAGTAGAAAACTACTCATGTTAAACATACTCACTATTTACACAATATTCCATGATTAATATTTCCTAATCTCATTTTTTCAGCATCGTTATGCGATAACACGTGTGATCAGCCAAGTGGTGAAACCGCCTCTAATGGCGTCTGTGAAGATGGTGGAATTGACGCCGCATCAGGGGCGTGCTTTCTGGGATCTGACTGCGATGACTGCGGCGTACGATACGGTAAATAATGCCCCCTTTTAACATTTCGATTTAAATTAGTGTTTATGACCACCCTCTTTTCCCTCTATATTCGATTCCCAACTTGCTCGATTTAATTCATTGTTATTTAATTAAGAATAATAAAAAGACAACACTAATTATATGTATTGCGTTGCTATGACGCTGAGCAATGTGCGATGTGTTGGACACATTATTAATCGTGTTGATGGTGCATACTTGTGCCCATTGTTTAGTGTAAATCGGAAGATGACATCACATTTTATGTAGAGAATGAAGATCGTATCAGCATATGTAGTGATAAGAGGACGGCGGCGAAAAGGTTGCAACCTGGCCACTATTTTTGAAGGCAGTCATGAGCGATAAAACCCAAGTGGTTATTATATAATTAGAAAGCACCATGTTTTAGAAAGCGCATTTAAGCAAGTACTATTATCCACTATTTGGCACATTGTTTTACAGCCCCGACCACTACAGTAAAACCAACAACAGTTGAGTCTGCCGAAACCATTGATAGTGGCAATGGGAATGGGAATGGAAATGGGAATGGTGATGGGAATGGAGAAGAAGATGGGAATGGGAACGAGGATGGAACTACAGAAGCAATAGAGTCATCAGCTTCCACCAGTACGATAGGCCAAAATAATCAAAGCAATGACGGACGATCCTGTAAGTATCGGTGTCTTTCATATGTGTTGACAAATCAGATAATGAATACATTGTATAAAATATTTCTCCTATTTTTGATTTATATACATAATCAATAACTTGTAATCCATACTGATATTCAACGTCGCAAATAAACTGTTAAAAGACAACATTCAATATATATATATATCTATATGGCCGGTACTGGATTGCATTTAACAAATGTTAGTTTTCAAACAACGCTAATTGCCAAGGGTTGGTGTCATATTACAAAGCGGTCACTTTTACTAATATGATTGATGTTCATAACTATAGCGATACAGACGCCCATTATAGCGGGTTCGCTAGCAGGACTTATAGGACTGGGTGGCGTGCCAGTGATAGCGTATATGTATTACCGATACAAGAAACGTACAACTGTCAAACCCGATAACAAGGTGAGAATGCAACACAAAATAAGTCGAATACAAACACAAAGTGTTCGAGTAGAATGCATTATTTTAATGCTGATTAGTTGGTTATAATGTCTAATTCGATGATTTTCTGGTTAATGTTTGTTTAATATGATGTATCCAATATTATCAGCGATCGGTTTTAATAGCGACATTGTCACAAAAATGAACGAACAGTAGTCTCCAAGCAGAAAGCTGCAGGTTCCTTTCAAACAAGAACAAACAATATTTTTGTAAGATTGCTTTCTTTCGCTGGGCAGCAGTAACATTACCAATTGTGGTGCTCACAGTATTTGGCGTTCAAACTTGTGTGTTGACATGCGTTTTGTATAGTCATCTCGTTAGTCCCTGGAGAAAATGCCTCCTTTGTGCACTTATCCCACGCACGGGTGACTACCAATCTACATCGATATCGATAATATAACAATACTCGCACACATACGGTGACATATATCGTATTCTAACATATCATGTGACACTATATAAATATTTTGCTCTGCATAAATGTATGTCATTATTTCTTATATATTGTATTTTCTATAAAACATAGATTAATTCACGCTGAATTCCAAAAGCTAACACTGACAATGCAACACCGTTATGTTGGCAAATAACACGATGTTTCAGAAAGATATACTGATATATTTTTGAATATGTAATTAAATCCAGATCATATTCTAATCATATTATAATTACGTTATTATCATTCGAAGCATATCACAACTATTGGTTACAATCATTCGATTGTTTAATACTTGTTAAACTTGTGATGACTTTGAACTGGTATAACTGTGCGCCATGCATCAACTTATTCCGTAATCTATCAATTCATACGCAATATCTTTCTAAATTTAAGTAGAACATTCCCAAATGGTGTATCGTACTCATGATGGTTTTATCATTATTGTTTGTACGCTGTGTTGTTTTTTGTTGGATTTGATATTATTCTGGTACACTGGTTATTAATTTTATGATGATAAACATGTTATTTATCTTTTTGCATTATTGTTTACCTTTAATATATTACACTAAATATTTGTCCGTTACCATGGCACCACGACCCAACTGTCTCTATGTTTGTTTACGTTTGTTTGCGAAAACCATTGCTACGCGAGCTGGGATTTGGATACACATCGCCGGTTTTAATAACCCGCAATATTTTATTTCCCACCCTCAGTGTCTAAATGTATTTTACTTAATATATGTGAAACGCATTCAATAATTGTTGCGTGCTGGAATCATTCTGCTTCAGGGAGCTTCAACAAAGCAAACCCGTCTATATCTGGCTTCTGTATCGATGTTTTTTACCTAAACATTGGTTTTAAGAAATATAAACATGAATATGTACTCATTCATCTAATGCCGGTTGGTATTATTGTTTTTTTAAATTCAGGAACCTGGAACAAACATAGCATAGAAAATACATCGGTAAGTATATATATGATCAGCTCGTCGTATGAAAGTACAATTCATTAAAAAAATAGAATAAAATAAAAACGTGACAGAGAGGGAATATGTGCTTGTGTGTAAAACTGAACGCTCGTTTGATCTCTCCGGTGCTTGCTATACACTGTTTAATGTAGCAGCTGCAGAAGCAAGATATCGTGGATGAAAGGCGTTTTGGCGGATGAACAATTGTTAAAAACACTCCTAGAAACGTGATAACTCCTGGATAACATGGAACCAGAAAACAAACATTAATCAATTTGGGTAGCGACGGATATAAGACGAGAATTAATATAAACATTAAGTAAAACGCCCACTTTAAGGTGAAGTAGTAGGAGCTAGCATAGCACATACGCTGGACCGATATATGTTTACACTGTTTCAAAACATTATTAGCGCGAGTCATAAGTTCTGCTACTGTTTTTCATTACAGGTAATCCTGTGTTTTCACTATAGAAGACGCGATATAGCATGTGATTTGATGTCATGCCTGAATGTGTTCTCCTCTTACACTGGCCCACCATATAGAAGAGTTCTGTTGAATGACATTCCACTCATTGCGCCTTTCCGTTCTAGGCACCTCGGTTAACGTCTCCATAGAACGATTTCATGCGACAGTGACCAATTGTGAGTGGCCACAGGTCACCTTTATATAAGCTACTCGGGAGAACCCAGTCTTGAGACCCAGCCAACGAAACTGTAACAGTTCCGAGGCTACGATATCCATATATATATATATATACAATAACTACTATTATAATAATAGATGAACTGCCTACAAATTTAACTGATCGTACTATTTAAAAAAAATCGTAATATTTGTTCTTAGAGATACGACAATTGATCTATTTAATATACAGCATGTAATTAAATGAATTGTTGGCGCAACCATTGAATCAAGCTTATTTTATAAAGCAGGTGGAATTTACATATTTACAATAATTTAATCATACCAGTGGCTAGGTCGATAGTATTGGCAGTGAAACTATTTATCATCCTGTGTATTAGTATCAGAATATCTTTACTTGATTCGACAGAATTCGTCAGAATATTTCCAAATTAGAAACAATATGTATATTTAAAGTTTCTGTTATTTTAGTATCATTCTTGTATATGTTTCATGGTTAGTAAGCATTGTGAATGTTTTCGGGGCATTGTTTTCGTTTTAACGTGATAGCTATATTTTTAGTTTACTGTGTTAGGTTTGTTTTCACTCGATACGAAACTTAATTTAGTGTATATATCTACTACACAAACAAAATAGAATAGAATAGAATAAATATCGCTATTATCATCTAATTTATTCTTGGTGTATTTTTGATAGCGAAATATTGTTGTGATAATTTATATGTTATGTACATTTATATCGGATGTTTCCAGGATTGTAAAATTTGCAAAAACCTGTGACAGTTTGTATTGTTTGACGTAATTTTAGATGATGATCCGAAACTATGATTACTCACTGTGATAAAAGTTACTTCTGGCTGGAATTCAATTTCGTGTATCATTTTAACACTTCATGTGAGTAAGGGCTACACATACCTGGGATAACAAGGCCTGGTTTTATATTTGATAGCTTTGCCAAATATTGCCTTAAATGTAGATCAAATAAGTTCAAAATGTAATCACTAGACAACATGTAGACGCCATTTGTACAGTCTTTATGCTAATGGAATTAATGTACATACTTATTTAAAGTTAATGTATTCAATTTATACGTTCGCAAATTTGTATTTTAGTGTTACAGTAGATATTGTTAATTTAATTGAAATAGATTGAATTATTAGTTATAATAATTTATTTCCAGTCTGTAAATATCTTGTACAGAAATACATTTTAAATGTACAGACATACGTCTTAGTTATTGTTATGAATTAATAAAATATCGATTATATCTACGTCTAACAATAGTGGCCTACAGATGTAAATGCGTGAAATTAGTTACAAGTAAAAGTGTCGTGTCTATGGAATGATGACTTATTAGCTAACGAGTTTGTTCATGAACTTGAAGCAAAAGTAACTAATTGCGTTTGTAAATAAATGTTACTAAAATAATTGAGATGAACAATGTACAATTAGCTTGATTTAAATTTTTCATATTTGTCTCCGACCTCTCACAAAAACGTAAATGATGTTTATAATAATTTAATTTTTATCTGGTTGGAGGCTTAAACTGCTAAATACACATGGTAACAGATATCCTGGTCACGTGAAGCATGGTCAGATTAGCAAATTAAAATGTATCTTATACCACTATTTTGAGATTATTCGAATTCGTGTAGATGGGAAGAAATCATAATTATCAAGAAGTACCAGATTTTAAAAGAAACTAGCGTTCGACTGCACTGTACATTTAATTGGGTTTATCGACTCCTCACACACAAAGAGAGATTCTAAAAAAACGAAACCGACAACCGGGCAATTATAGTCTTATCTAAGTTAAAATGTTTTTTCCCATTACCAATGAAATGCGATATAGGTCTAGACGTATTCATCGACAATTTTACCTTTACTATACTATATACATTTTACCATTTACCAGATGCCAGTGGCAGACATTGACTACGGTATCATAATATATGATCTTCTTTCTTGAGAATGTCCCTGTCGTTGCCAAGTCACGGGAATGCTAACCACATTGATCCATTTAACTGACACTTGAACGAGAGTACAAACTTAACTTAAGAATCGGAGACACTTAAACTGAACTTGGAACGATCAATTGATCTACTGATGAAGAATGTTTAATAAACACCAATAAAGCCAGCCATTTTATTTTATTTAAGTAGATGTTTGCATTATTTGACACACGTCACATCATGTGATTGTTAGATTGTTCCGTTTTGTTCTCAAACGATGAAAAAAACATATACAGTAATCACTTTCATTGAATAAAGGTACTTGTTATTATAAGTAGTAAATATCGGCTTGGTAGAAGGTTAGCTCCCGGCATCAAGATACCAGTTCAATAAAGCGTTTATGCTGAAAATTCGACCATGATTCGCAGCTTGCTAGTTGTGTGTGTAATAGTCGTGTTCACTGTTCACCAGATTTACGGTAAGTGCTAACTGGTTTGATATATAAAACCCCAGACGGCGGTAACTGTAAATCTTATCTTTCTGACTGTGCATTTACTTTCGTACATTTTTTTTTATTTGACGAAAATAACATATCTGTGAGATACTGGTTTCTTACAAAATACATTTCAATAGCCACGAAGATTCTCGGGACAAGTACTGAACATAGATTGAATGTGGACACACTAATACAGCTTTTGGCGTGGCTGTGTGTATAACTGCAGTAAACCAACGATGCTTTCCGCGTGTTTCAATACAAAAAAAGCATTGCCAATTTCAACTACACATACACATTTTATTGTTAGCGTAATTCTAGTTACATACTTATCCTTATGTATGTGGCAGATGTCAAAACAAAAAAACACCTTAAAACTAGATCTGATTCCCGAAATATATACTTCTATAATAATAGCAAATTGATTTAGATGAATATTTGACAAAATAATACAGATGTATGTAAATCCTAAACAAATACCTGTACCACAGTAAAAAAAAAAGACAAGGGTAAAACGTTTAGAAATTGTGTGGAGATGAAAATCCTTAACTGATGTATACATTTTGATTACTCCATGTAGCTGCACCTGTGCCAAGTCACAATGGTACAGTTAGAAAACTAGTTGATGAGTTTATGAATTCGAGGATTTTCAAACGAGACGTGGGTAAGTAGACAACACAATAGATGTATTTTCTACATTCATTATATTTTTTCTGGTGGATTTCCTGAATTCTTGCAGTGTGTCGTTTTAAGTTTGCTACTGAGAAATCGACTACGATTTGTAATCATTATCATCCCAACTGCACATCCCACGTGTTTTGTTTGGTGCACGTTTTACTTGTGGTTATGCTTTCTTCGTCAGTATTGTGTAGTATTTATTTTGTTTAACAAATAATATTTCAAAAGCATCACCCCAGGCCCTAAGAAGTCTTCAAACGTGTTGTACCCATGGCAATATTCTGTCACAAATTCACAGTGACACCCGTTTTGCCGACTGAATCTCCAGACGGAACTGAAGAGACTGGAATCGAAGGAGGTAGTATCGGTAATTCAAGTTATGACTCCTCCTACTCCTACTCCTATGTCTATGAGTACGTATACCATGTAGTGGACAAGGAACCCCCGTTGTATCTTTCCTACGATGATGGGGATAGTGGCAGGGAAAGCGCATCAACAACAAGAGCGAAGTACTTGGTCATGACATTTGGTAAAAATAAATATTTACTTTAATAATAATAATAATATTAAGAAGATTCACATCGATTTGTAAACAAATATTGCGTTCCTTCGTGAAGTCGCTAGCTGAATTGGTGTCGGGTACCAAATCAGAATTTTAGGAATACGTGAGATTAATTCATAATTTCGTTACTAGTTTGAAATTTATATTACAATGTATTGTATATAACAAATGTTATCATTATTTATTTCTATGTCCACATAATTGCAGGAAACTTCACTAGCGAAGTTCTGATTGGTCTAATAGTACTCACTTGCATAGTGTTGTTGGTGCTTTTAGCGATAATCTCAATGTGGTTCGTGAGGCACTGTCAGTATACCAAGATCGCGACAATACATGGTAAACTGGACGATACAGAAGAACCTAAATCAGATAGTAAAACAGAGGTAGGTATTACAAATTTATTTTAATTACTCACCGTGAGCATCGGTTGTCTGATACTGATCATGATATTACGGGTTCCAGATTTCTCATTATTACACTGAACGAATACTTACTATCTTTAGTGACAAATCAGTGTTTTTATTTTCATCATTGTACGATAAATCGTACTTTATTGTTTTCATAAAGATGTATTCTCAAATTTTATTATTTAAACATGCTCAAAAAACACTAAAAGTTATATAACATTGCCCTTTTAGAACACGTACGAAGTGTCACAGTTTTAGCGCAAACTTTGACTTTCGCAGTAAAGAAAGTAAATTACATGCGTTGTATGCGTTGCAGGGAACTGCCATTTAAAAAAAAAAACTCAATGGTTGAATAATGTTTTTTCTTTTAGCATGTGCTCTTAAACAGATTCAATATATACTACACTATCGGTACACTCTATCGGCTTTTTATGGATTTAATTCACCATTCCGATAATTTAGATACAAACATTTAAAACTACATTTCAATTTGTTAAATACGTTTTTATTTATCAACTGACGCATTTTCGAGTGGTGTCCAACACATGTCTATTTTTTACATACATTGAAATATATATTGATTAATTTCCACGTTTTTTCTTTAAAAAAATTCGAAACTCACATCCGCCGAGTTTCAGTGTCAGTGTGTGTAGCAACTGTCTTAGGCAGTTGTCCTCGTACCGCTGCTCGCATGCAAACCACATGAGCACATTATTTATTATCTCAAGTGTACACGAGCTCTATGAGGTGCGCACTAGTTCACAACTAGCTTGGTAAATTTATTGAACACATTGCATTTTTGCATCAATTTATCGTTGTTCATCTCTGGATGCCATGGAAGGCGCATTCCAGTGTATTCACCAGAACATCTATTAAATTACATATCAATATCAACGCCAATAATTACGATACATTGTAAATACAACTGCCCTGGAATATTTTCAACCTATATTTCTTTATTAAAATGGCTCGGCTGTTGGGTTCAGTAAACACGGAATCCACAAAAGCAAACGAGAGCACATTGAATCGCTGTGCGCTTCCAATAACAAACACATCAAAGGTAATGAGGTATAAATAGCGAAGCACATGCGTTTTATACCTGACTGCGTTTAATTGAAATGACGCTAATTTGATATAACCTGAAAATAGAATTGTGGTAAAAGATATTTCTTTACACGTCACGATACGGTCACCACGTCGTGTTGCCTGTTGCGACGTGCCGCCGCTGTCACGTTGTTGAAAGATGCTCTAAATCGTTAACTGCAATTATGTCGATTTATTATATACATCGTAACAAATAATGATTTACTATATATGTCTTCCCGATAATATCACAGTACAAAGATATTCAAACTTTTCATTTATGTATTATTTAATTAAACAGGGTGATTATTATATAGACGCGAAGATGACCGCACATCGACCTTCCCTCGCACCACCAGTGTTAGATTCAGACCATTCTCCGGTGGATGACAAAGACCTGGACAAAAGGATAGCAGCAGTAATGGTGAATAACTTCGTCAGCGTGCCAGATACGAGTCCCGGCAAAGATGCGTCGACCGTGAAAACGAATTCCCAAACTTTAACAACAAGTAACGAAGAAAGTGGGAGAACATCCACGGAGAAGGGTAATAAACGAAAAGGGAAAAAAGACAAAAAATATGTCGTAGATGAGAATGCAACGAAGTCCGAGGATCAAGAAGGGAAACCGAATAGTGTGCCTGGAATTGTAGAAAGCAGTGACAAGGTGGGTACAACACCCAGCAATAGCCAGATAGCAATGGCACATAAGAATAAAGATAACGGGGATGACACAAACCAAACCAAATCACCAACACACAGCTCTGACACCGATTCAAATGTAGTAAAAGATAAACAAAGTAAAAAGAAGAAAAAATCGGGAAAAGAAGCGAAAGTACACACACAAATTGTCCACCTCGGGAAAGATTTCACCAAGGAGGATATTACGGACACCTCCACACGAAATGCAAACGAAATGCAAACGGACCAGGGTAAAAACGTCGTAGTAAACGCTAATCGCTCGAAAAGTTGCGATCTCCCAGTGGACAACACGGCTGAAACCAATATGACAATCAGGCCCGGAACTTCTGGAGACCAAGCCAGTGAACAAGAATCTGGATATTCGGTGCCATCAAATCTTAAGGGAAGTGCATGGCACAATAACGAAGCTGGGAACCAAACACACGAGAATTCGACATCGTGCGATTTAGCAGGGCACGTCATGGGCGGCGTACCTGCGGTAACCAATTCTTCGGAAGCATTCCAGACGGGTAGTAACGCTTCTTCGCAGCTGCGGGCAATTGATGACACAAGCAGTCCCGTGAACAACAAAAGTGTTGACGTGACTGATGAAAACCCGCGACTGATTGTCTCAAATGAAAAGACCACTGATAGTCATCACCTGGGAAACGGTGTAATTGAAAAAAGCCTGACCATCGGCAAAGACGGGAAAAGAAACGGTGACGATAACGTTGGTGGCGGGGGCACACATGACGCAGACGGAACGACTTCGACACAATCGACTAAAAAATCGAAGTCATCTAACAAAAAGACCAAACAGAAAAAACAGGGTACTAAAGCTAAAAAGAAATTGAAACGTGCTATGTCGAAAACTTTATTACAGACTAAATTGAATTAACCAGTCAGGCATTACTAATGCTTTAATAATTAACAGCAGTGCGACGAAAAAGTCGGAAAGCCGAACGTATACATAGCTAATTGAGAAACTTCCGTTTTTATCTACGTCGCTACATGTCCCTCGGATGTGCACGCTGATTCATCGTATTTATTCATGAATTTCTAGTTACATGTATTTGGTTTAATTGACACAGTTCCAAATTCTTTTCGGAATTACAGAAACCGAATATGTATATTTATATTAGTTTATTGATTGAATCTTCGTATCTTGTGATTTTCATATTTATTATTTAAGCATTTGGCGAGATGCATTTATATGTGTTTCCGTAAGATGAAATATTAACCGATTTTTGTTGAATTAAATGGTACTTCAAGTTGTTTAAGAATATGTTGCCGAAATACCAATAATATAATTAAATGATTTATCAAACGTTGTTTACCTTATTAGAGTTGCCATGACTACGTATTTGATTATCTTAATATGTCATAACGATTTTTAAGAATGTCATAAACAAACAATATCTAAAATTGATTCAGCAAATCAGATATTCGATATGTGATAAGCTATAGCGTTTAAAAAATTTACAGCGACTGAACACAATTCAGAACGTGCGTGTTGTCAACACATGGAATACGATCATAGCTGATTCTACCTAACGGTGAAATGTACAAATCGACGTTGGGGACAGCCTTCCACTGTCACTACTCCACTGCAGGCACTAGTATACTGCCCTCAACATACCGACGCGTATACAACCGTTTCTTTATCACCAACGAATAGAAGGTTAGATTTTGTTGATGGTTGTTAGCAAGGTCATGGACAAATTTCACCAAACGTTTATGGGAGAATGTTTATAAAAAGGGACAATTGATTCGATTTTGTGAAAGATCTGAATTTGCTCCTCTTCAAGTTGTAAAGAGGATTCTTAATGAATGTTTGTATAATATTTGAATTTGAATTTGAATTTGAGGAATAAGCCAATCGATTTGGAATTTTGGGAGAGATTTGCATCTGAGTGGAGGGATTCTTCACTATTGTCAGATAGATCCAACAGATATGTAAGAAGGAGTTGCCATTGTGACAGAGGATGGTCGATTACATATTGGGAGAGATGTTTTTTTTGAAGGATTCATTGTCACGGACAGATAGGGCCATTGTTTGATGTTTAGTACGCAAATTATTCGATATTAAATCTGGCATTTGTTTTCACACACAAAATAAATAAAAAAGGAGAAATGAACTCTTATGCCAATGCGATAATGGCAGAAGTATCAGTAAAAAGAAATACTTTGTAATATTGTCATGGGATGGGTGAACATTCCTCGACTGAGTCGTAACATATTTTAGGTTTTATTAAAGATAATTTGTATAACTCGAGGGTTGAATTAATTTGTTACATGTGTATTATGATGCATTTGTGATTATTCTAATATTGTTGTAAAAACAGTTAGTTGTTTTTCAGTAGTATAATGGTCAATATTTAAAGACTGTGGCTTACGTCATCTGCTAACCTGTAAATGAACGAGTATATATAATTAATATATTTTGCACATACACGAATAAACTGTGTTTGATGTCTTGTTGTCGGTTTTTACTGTGTTCATACAAGAATTATATTACACATTGCATATGTGTTTTGTTTGTGTGTGAAGCTGTTGAATAAAAGCAAAGACGAATTGTGGTAACTATATTGTACCTGTAACGACGACAGTCCACCAACTAGTCTAGTTAGTGTACGCAACCAACAGGGCAACCAGGGTCACTGAACTACAAGCGCATCGTCGACCCAATTACGTGTAGAATACCTGCACTCTTTGTGCATACGTACAGTTATTATGTGTCGACACTGTATCGTAATAATAAGCACACCTTATAACTTAGAAGAAATCGCTCACGATGCGTAAGATCCCCAATAAACACATGTATGCCATAGACCTTGTCAGCCCTGCCTACGCGGCGTGAGTGATCGCTTTTCGGATTTAGATTTAGTACTAACCGATAGCTGTCGAGCCTTACTCAAGCGGATAATTTTGTTGCTTTATCCATTCCCCCGTAACTATGGCGAGAATGAATTATTTATATGAAATGTCATACAGACTCAAAGCAAACAATTCGGTGTCTTGTCCTCCTGTTAATGTAATTAACGTAGGGGTGATGTTTTGACCTTAGATGATATCCAATTTATAAAGGAAATCAACAGAGGCGTATAGTATGACAGTGAGAGCATCATTTCATCTCAAATCCGTTGATGGGACAGGGTACAGTTTTGCTTACTCGCGACTTACTGATATAATTTTGGCAGTGACATCAAACACATTTATCAGAGACGATCAATTTGTTGTTCGTATTGTATTTAAAATGTCGCTTCCGATGTCAAAATATGTGTGTTTAATCTTCGTTTTATCGTCATCCATCCCGGGGATACGAGCAGTGGGTGAGTAGACAGACTATATATATATATATTTCTGAAATAAACTTGTGAATAGTGTACAATGAAATCAATGACACAAAATATTACAGCCACATTTTTAAAAAAAAAACTGAAACTTTATTCAATGACACTGACGTTATGAACTTGACACTAATGGTTCAATAGCATAGCATGACGTCATGAAAAGTTGAAGGTCACCCTTCCCCGCTCGTCGCAATGTGCAACACCCAGAGTAAACAAGATTGTCAGTGTATGATTTATAGCGACTTTTATTAAAATTGAGGTACGAGATATCGATGTAGATTTTGTTCATTGTACATTCAAAAATGAAAATGTGACAGCAAGAGCAACAAAACTGCTTTGAGGCGTGTATTTCTTTGAGTAATTCGTTTATATCGTACAATTGAATTTTCTAACTGAAAGATTATTATACTCGTGAACATTATACGTTGACAATGAAAAAGCACAGGCAATGCTGACTTTTAACGTATTCATACAATAGTCACTTGTCTAAAGTGAAAACACCACATATATACATACAACAACTAGTTGAAAGTTCTTTATAAACTATTACTGTGTATGGCAACTCAATCGTGACCTTTGAATTCAAACAAAGATATGAACCACATGCACCGTTAATAGACCATTTTCCGTTCACTGCGAGAATCACGCGTTATGCGTGAAATCGAACGTAAAAACAGGACAAACAAAGGTCATAGCGTCGTAGTGGCGTCAAACATCGCGTGGGATTCGACAAACGCGAAGTATTTTGGGGGACATTTCCATGCTTAATAATGTGCTGTCCACATTTGATGATAGGCAATTTTGATTAAGTAAGGGTATTCGGAAGCAATATTCCTCTGTCGAAAATCGGCCGGTCGATGTGAGTTACGAAATAAAGAAATTCTAGTTCAAAATCAAATCGTTCGATTTTTGCGGTAGACGTTCGACGCGCGTTTTTCATACATCTCGCGAGATCTCGCAATTGTACGGAAAATCCCCTATTGGTAACTCTCATCTCTCTAGTAACAGAACAGTCACTTGTCCAAAGAAATAACATCGCATAAATACATGCATTTTTAATTTATTAACAAAGTCTTATTTCATTTTTTCTTCTTTCGAAGAAGTTAATGCATGATGTCTGCTTAAAGGTATGCTTAATGTCAACGCTCAGGGTAATCGACAATTAGATCTGCTAAATTTAAAACACAAAAGTCGAGGGACACTTCCTTGGATGTGGTGGACAATCCCTACATCATATCCAGACCTTGATATGATGGGTATTTTGTGACCGAATCACATGAGTTTGTCTTAAAAACAATGGCAACGAACAAACCAGAATATCAGTTATATATTTATATATAATTTACGAAAAACCGTTCTGATGATCAATCAAACATATTAGCATCGAGGCCATCATAATTGATACATTTTTAAAATACTAAATATATTCAACCATCTAGTCAATGTGAAAACAAATCTACTATTAAGTATGCATTATTATTATTTAAAAGTTTAGTCCCACTGTCCGGTCGAAGTAAGTATACCTACCAGTCACATGTGACGATTCTTTCTGAACAAGTCACGAGCGTAAGTAGGCACGAAGTACACAATCATAAAAATTATATAATCTTTTAGCCCCTCTGTCCGGTCGAAAGCATTTGATGTATACCCATCAGTCACATAAGACGATTCTTTCGAGACAATTCACACGTTCACCCAGTCGAACATGTCTGAAACTTAGCTCAATGAAATTAATGCTACACCTATGTCCTAAGACGATTCCCAATGCATGGTCAATCAATAGAAAAGTGTTTGATTTTACTAATAATAATAACTAATAATAAGTTAGGTAAAGAATCGTCGGGGTTTAAGCTCCTACGACCCTACCTTCACTTGTGAATACCCAGTCGTCAATTGCGCAAGGAAAACAGTGTTTCAGTTCGTGCTTCTACATCAACAACCTTCATTCGTTGCAACGAGGTTAATCGACTTGAAAGCCGCCACCTTGTCTACGTGCGATCACGTTAGTTATTCAGTTACGTAACCAATGGTCCTTATACATTTGTGCAACTCCTATGGTCGTACAGAGTCAAAGGCGTTCAATATGTATTACGGGTGTAATATCGCACAACGATTTCACTTTTTAGTATTGAAAACTACCGCATCACATTTCCAATGGTAGTGTATATGTTTGTATTCACATTTATCCATACATTTCATTAATTTATCAGATGTGATCAAACTACACAATATATGTAATGTCAGTATTATGTTATTTGAGACTCATGTAATACTTTCCTTTTTCTTCAGATAAAATATTAATCAATGTCTTTTTTGTAAGTTACATGTTTGTTTCAACCACGACATTGAAAGTTACAAGAACGTACTTGCTCTACTTTGTTTATTTCATTGTGTCAGATAATTGGTATTATGTTGCCATGACATCATAACAACATTCAGAAGTGACTATAATCTGTTTTACAGTACACAGTTTTACTCATTGCATTTATATAAAAGCTAAATGAACACAAATTGACAAACTAACAAGTTGTATGTATGTATGTTT